TATGTGATTATATGTATTACATTGATTGTATGTATGCATGACTAAAGATAATGATATGCTTTGTATATGCTATATGATTTATGTAAGACTTTATTATGTAATAATGGAAGAACATAGAATAAGTTATATGATAGAGTCATAAGAAATGAAATGAACATGACAGAATAAGATAATCAAGTATAAGTCATATGATATGGTATAAGTGATTATACGAGAAATGTTAGGAGACTCTAAGAGAATAGTATGAATTCGAGGGCATAAATAAGGATACATAAGTTATATAGAGAATATTGATAAATCAAAGGAAACTATGGTTTATGTATTAAAGTGAAGAGCTACAAAGTTTTATTAAAGAGTATTGTGGAAGTCATGAGAAATTGAACTAAATAAATAGATGGTTTATGTGAGTAAAAGGGGAAAATGATATAAAATAAGTTATGAAATTATAGGAATATAGAAGATAAGTCGAGAGATGTAGGGAAATAGAAATAGATGTTTATTAAGAGTCATAGGAGAACAAATATATGTAATATGATAATGAAATATAAGACTATGTGGATACATGGTTATGAGATAAAATATGTAATAATAGGAAAATATGATGAAAGTGAGTTTATAAGAAGTGATATGAACTAGGTAAACATGGGTAACAGTATATGCATAATGGAAACATGAGTTGGACAAGTACCTAGTGGTATGATTATTATGAGAATTAGTATAATGGAGCTATAAGAAAAGATTATAATGAATATATGAAATTGAATTAAGTAAAGAGATTAAATTAGTACCTAAATAAAAATACTATTAAATGATATATGTTTAGAAATACGACATAATTTATAATCTAAGGGAATACAAAGAAATAGAGCATAAGGTAGATAATATGATATCCGTTATTATATATATATATATATATATATATATATATATGATATATGTCATCAGGTAATATGAAAGGACTCTGAAAATTGATATAAGCTATGAGAAAGTGTTCTAGGTGTTTCTATGTGTTATATGAAGCATATATGATCATATGTGAACAAGATATGATATGTATGTTTATATGAATATATGAGAAATGATCTAAGCTATATGATATGATATATGTGATTATGTGCACTTTGGGATATATGTTATATGATATGGATCTATGTAACTACGTGAGAAAGTATATAAGCTATGTGACATGTAAATGTGACTCATATGAAAATGTTCTATGAGTAATTGAACTATGTGTTATGTGAAATGATAAGTATAAAAGAAAATGCCCATGTTATTTGTCTTGAGAGCTAGGGGTATAGTTGGCATGCCAAGAGTTGAGGGTCTACGCGGTCCTTCGGGACATATATGTATTCTTTGGAACATGTGTGAAGTCTGGTGAGACACATACTTGATCCTTGGCATATGTATATGATTCTTAAGGAATGATATGTAGTCCTTATGGACATTATTATATGGCACTACGGTGCAATTCTACGCGGCACTCCGGTGCAATTCTACGTGGCACTTCGGTGCAATTATACGAGCTGTGGTGACAGCATAGTGCACAACCTCTATAGACTCACATATCTATAGTTCTCACATGTGTACATGGGCTTTGAAAAGAGAACATAATTTGATATAATGATATGTGTATTTTTCGTGACATGGTAGAAGTGTATATATGTATTGGTGATATGAGAACAATGTATGTGATATATGTATATGATTTGTGATATGATGTGTGCATGATATGATATATGTGTGATAGGGGTTATGGTATCTGTTACATAATATATATGAATAATATATGTTGATGTATATGTAAATGAGTTGTATAATTTGATAGCATAAAACAGTCATGCATGATTAGTGGGTATGAATTCCATTAGATGTGTTTCCTTTATGCCTCACTAAGTCATCGACTTAGCGTGTGAGTGTTTCACACGCAGGTTACAGAAAGTGAATATGGAAGCTGTGAGGAGCAGTACAGGTCAGCATCTCCCTTACAAGATTTCAGATCAGAAAATAGATGAGTTAAATGATTTTTGTTATTTTGAATATAGTTGGCATGTACTAATTGATTGAGTTAAATATGTTCTGATCGATTTTGATTATTGTGGTCAAATTATATAACTAAACTGCTTTTACTCTAAGGAAAGTTTTAAATTTTCTTTGAATTTTGTCAAGAGTCGAAGTTTGAAAAGTCAATGTGACACCTTGGACTCGTATCCGGGTCGGGTACGGGTTGGGGGTGTTACAATGGGGGTGTAGGTGATGACGTTACACACCGTATATAGGCGGGATGGCTAAAGTGGAGGGTTGCTACTGGAGTTTTGTGTGACAAGAAGGTGCCTCTAAAACTGCTTATATTCGGGCGATTCGTGATATGTACTGTATATCTACTACATACGTCAGGACTACAGTTGGTGACACTGAGGCATTCCTGGTGGAAATCGGACTCCACCAGGGGTCGGCTCTTATCCCTTACATCTTCGCCTTGATTATGGACGGCATCTATTGTGCGACACCAGACAATGTTTCATGGTGTATGCTTTTCGCTGACGACATTGACCTAGTTGCTGAAACAAAAAATGAGTTGAATAGTAGACTGGCTAATTGGAAGACTGCTTTGGAAGAAAAAGGTCTAAGGATTAATATTGAAAAGACAAAGTATTTATGTTCAAACTTCAGTGGGAACCAAAACGTTGAAGATGTAGAAGTTTGCATCGAAGGACACGTTCTCCCTTCAAAGAATTGTTTCAAGTACCTAGGGTCTATGATACATAAAGATGGGGGTGTAGGTGATGACGTTACACACCGTATAAAGGCGGGATGGCTAAAGTGGAGGGCTTCTACTGGAGTTTTGTGTGAAAAGAAGGTGCCTCTAAAACTTAAGGGAAAATTTTATATAATGACAATAAGACCAGCGTTGCTGTATGGATCAGAATGTTGGGCAATCAATAAGGATCACGTAAGGAGGATGCAGGCCGCAGAAATGAGAATGCTTCGATGGGCATGTGGTAGGACTCTGTGGGACATGACACCAAACTTTGCAATAAGGATGTCCTCGGGGGTGGTGCCTGTATCCGAAAAATTGAGGGAGGGGAGATTACGGTGGTTTGGGCATGTCCTTAGGCGGAAACCGTCAGATGCGGTCAGGAGGGTAGAGTGGATTACAACCGACGGTGCCAGAAGGAGAGGACGACCAAGAAGGAAGTGGGCAGACTGCTTGAGATCTGATTTGAAGGATTTAGCCCTTACAGAGGACATGACATCTGACACGAAAGTATGGAGACTTAAGACCAGGGTAGCCGAGTAGTGTGGGTCATAGTTATAGGGTGTAGCACCTCTGTCTTCTTTTTAATGCCTTTGTAGTAATTTCCATGACTTCTACTTTTTATACGGTTCTGTCATTGGAATTTATGTAGGCTTAGAACTAGGATAGCGGAGTAGTGTTGCCTTAGTTTAGGTTTTAACCCTTTTGACTTTATAACTTATCGTAGCTTGCTATCGCTGACTACTGTGTATCATTCTCTTCATGTTTCCTCTTTTTTAAATTTAGCCGGACCTTACGTTTCTGTCTATATGCAGAGATTTTTACGCATGTATTACTTCTCATTACATATGTGCATATGAAGACTACATATGAAGTCTGTTCAACTATGTATTTATTTATTTACTTATACATGCATGTATTTTATCTTTATGTTTAATTTTCTGACTGCCGGAGGTCTTCCACGGAAGTTGCTCTCTACCTAGCGTTGGGGGCAGTCTACTACACTGCCTTCCCTTATCCCATTATATATGATAATAGGGTTTTGTTGTTGTTGTCGTAATGGTTGTTGTCTTCGTTTAATACATTATACTGTATTCATCTGTTCAACAATGCAAATATTAATTAGTAGCCCTAGACTTTTTATTACTGCAGATATGGTTTTCACTTTTAGGGCCAATGGAATGTCAACTCACAATTATGAAGCAGTACTGCTTAAAGATTAAGATTCTCTTAGGATCAGTATTCCTTTCTCTTTAGAGAAAACAGAAGCTTAATTTCGCTGTCATGGCATACCTCTTAAGTTCATTCAAGAGACAACCTAGTTGCCATCAACAGATTTAACAACATATATATAGTTATTAGTTATTGGAGTCACAGTTGAGCATATATGTATATATATATATATATATATATATATATATATATATATATATATATATATATATATTCTTTCACGTGTCAAATTTGCATCAGTAATACTATCTTGTATAGAAGAAGAAGAAGATATACTGTAGAAGGATGCTTGATATGTGATAATAATCGAATGAAAAACACACAAACAGAACTTATTCTTTTAATCTTTATCAGAATCTGTAATTGTATCGATGTGGGAGATAAGGTGCCAGCCAGCTGCTATAATCCTGAGGCTATATAAGCAACTCCTTTGTCTCCAAATCTTTGCAGCTCTTACTCAGAGGGTATATACATACATATATATTAATGAAGACGTTCCTCATTAACTCTACCTCAAAGGCTTCCCCAAAAGGCCATGCATGGGGCTCTTAATGCTACCTATGGAATTGCTTGGCGAAGCCTTTAGGGAGAGTTCATGAGGATTTGTCTCCAATGCGTTTCATTTTGGCTGATAGCACAAAGTTTCTGGGTCTGTTATACCTTCCTTCCTAACAGTTGACAAGTATGAGTTTCCGTATGGTTCGAGGCCTGAAATATTCGGAGCAAGCGTGAAAAAAAACTCGATTCGATTAAAAAAAATCGATTATTTGAACATGTTTGAGTTTTATGTTTGATTTCCTCATTCAGTTTGTTGGATTTTTTTTAACTTATTAGAGTCTGTGTGCGAATGGTATTATCTTTGGCATGGATTGTGTCTAACGACAACACTTAAACTAACAATTTCTTGTAAACAATACTAAATTTATTACAAATCAAGAGCATGTCTATATCTAATGATATTATATCTTTGATCATATGTACTATCTCACAGTGAGTACACTGATCGTTTTCAAGATAAACCATCGATACGATCCGGAATCGTACATCGGAGATGGATGCCAAAATCGCATTCCTTGCAATAGTAAACCCAGAGTTTGTTTCCTACATGTTGGCCACAAACATCACATTCAAATGATGTAATGCTATGGTTGATGCACGAGAAGGAGTAGTAGAGCGTGAGCCGATGTTGATGATCCACATGCTTTATCGTTTGGGGCAGCCGAGCACATCCGGCATGGAGATCGAAATCGCAAGGGGAGCAGCGGTAGTCGAAACCGGTGCCGTAGTCATCGCAAGCATCGCAAACGAAGATTCCGGAGCCGTGATCGTCGCGAGGAGGGGTGGGAAGAAGTTGGAGAAGGTGGTGGGGGTGAGATTGGTGTTGCATTAACGGTTTCAATTCGAAACACGATTTATGAAGAAGGAAATCGCAGTCGGACTTGACGCATATAAAGGTCGAACCGCTGACTTGTAGGCCGCAACCGGAGCAAATAAGCTCGTCATCTTCTCGTATCCCATCGATAGGCCGTAAAGGATGGTTGTGGCTGAAATGGTTCACGCATGGACGCAATGGGAAATATGTGTAGCGCTTATGCATTATCTTTGGTCTTCTACTAAAGAATATGAACATTATGTTCATTATATAATGTTGCACTTCGCCTTGTCTTGTTATATTTGTAGGTTCCTTACTTGAAGTGTTTATTGGGTTAATACCTTTCCTAGTCCTTTCTTGATTCCAATTCTCTTTATTTGGTTTAATTTTGGAATCATGATAAACGGTGGGAGTTAGCCCCTAAATTGGGTAAAGTTCTCTCAATCGTCAAAGTATTTTTTTCTTCTTTTTATTTATAAGATTTAAACTCGAAATTTTAAATAAACGATATTAAATACTTGGGTAAACTACACATCTAATACCTAAATTAATAATCTTGATCTATTTTAGTACCTTAACTTTTAATTTTTTTCAAAACTACACCTAATGTTTAGTTTTTGTTTCATTTTAGTACACTTGTTAAAAATTTAACGTTAAGTTTTGAAACAAATTGAAAGTTTCGGTACTAAAACGGGCCAAAACTGATAGCTTGGGTACTAAACGAGTTAAGTTTTTAACGGTTGGTACTAAAATGAAACAAAACAATAGGCATGGTTTTCAAAAAATTAAAAGTTTAGGTACTAAATTAATAATTTACCCTAATTCTTTTTTTTTTGAAAAATGGGTATTTTGTATCGATAAGGATACAAGGTACACCACCCCATGGATCTCATTAAAAAAACCTCCCTAAACCTATTAGAGGAAAAAGAGTGAACCATGAGGTGAAAAGGACATAAAGGCGGAGACTAACTCCTGAGAACCACTAGTTTCAGAGATACATGAGACTATAAAAAATGACTAACAACATAACAACACACACAACCACAAAATTCAGTTGACATAAATACCAGCCCATCCCACAAGCCTCTATAGGAATGAGCAAACCAGAACTGTCTGACTCCAAAACATCAAACACGTAGATCCTCAAGGACATAATCCGAACTTACTGTATGATAATTCCACCATAACATCTTATAAACCTAGAATATATCATCAAGGATCATTCAAAAAGCATTCCATTCGCCTTCTCAAGTAAGGAACCCGATATGGTCCTAGGCTCTCTACCTCACAAACTAAAATCGGAACAAAATACATACAAGAGAAATTTAACCAGATCCCCGCAGCCCAACGAACACAAACGAAGTTGCTCTCACAGACCGATAACAATCATCAAAACAATCCCGACAATGCACTCACTAACGTCAACGCATAACTAACGACGAAAGCTTCTAGAGAACCATAGAATCTGGACTACCAACCATAAGTTCAAGTTGCCTATCTAAATACACTGCCTCCTGCGCTTCAATAAAAGCTTCAGCCCACCTTTGTTTTAAAACAGAATCTAAGATAGATGTCCTTGATAATTTGGATAATAAAAGATCCGATTTCTTCAAATTGAGTTTCTTCAGCGCAAGATCTCTTCTCCTTCTCTCAGCTTTAGATAGAACTTTGCCCTAAATGTCCAACATAGATCCAAATTTCTTCAGCTTCAACTTTTTGGTAAATAACCGATACGGCATTACCAACGGCTCCCAAAGATCGCGCCCAACAGGAGACATCGATATAGACCCCTCATCCGCATTTCGAAAGGAAGCTGAACCTACATTCGGACTAACGACAATCCCCTTGCAAATCGTCCTATCCAAAGGCGATAGAGGGCCATCAAGAGCATTAACTACGTGACCAGCATCCAACGGCATTGTTGAGCCCACATGCACAATATTATAATCAGCCACCACATTTGAAACGTCGCTCCTCTGACAGGAGTCATCATGCGCCACCATGTTCAAGGGCACTACATAATGCGACAAGGCCACCTTTAAATGATCACAAGCACTTACATCCTCAATAGGAACCACGTGCAAAGATTCCTCCTCCACATAAGAATTGCCGTTACTTTGGCACAAAGCAACACGCTCTGCTGCCCCATAACTAGCTGCCTTGGAATCTAACTCCATAGACCATACCTCTTCGAAGCCGACTTTTAGCTCACGACACTCCTGATGAACATCCTCCATATGAGTGGATATAATATTAACACAGGAAAGCAATCCTGCACCTAACTCCAACTCGGTAGAATAATCTGACGAGCCACCATGGAACTCATCCACCATAGAAACCGGGTAAGCAATAGCCTCTTACACAAAAACAGTAAAAGACATCCCCAACTCTCAATTCTACATATTCTTCCACTCGAGATTGATGGTTTGTGATAACTTGAAACAACGCCCTATCAATCGAGCCAGGACACAAAGTTCATTCCTCTATAGAAATGAGCTCACCCCATTTTCCTGCAATGTTTCTGAAAGTTGAAGGACTCCACACAAACGGTGGGATTCCTTTACAAGATAACCATACTCGTCTACTGCTGCACCTAACATTTTCCGACCACACTTTCACTTTGTCGAAGCAGGTTTGAAGCGCCTCAAACTGATTGTTTAGAGTAAAATTCATACTATCTTCATCTTCAAATACAATTAGAATTGCTAAACCGCTTAATCTCATAATTCTCGGACACAATATGCCTTCTTTGTGCATGATAGCAGCCATCTCCTTCATTTTGATAAATTTTCTGCACCAACCTACCAAACTATCTTTAAGGGTAGATAGTATATCCTCGTCAATAACACCAACAATGGGGGCCTCAATAGGATTTGCACTCTCCATTCTACTCATGGGTACAGCTGGATTTGAAACGGAACACTTCTTTTTCCATAAAGCTTCACGAGGTTTAAATCTTGCCATGAAAACTCTAACTTTGCTCCCTTGAATCCTCGATCCGTCTGCACAATCTGGTGAAGTGAACAAAACCAAACATGCTACCACCCTTACTTCTTTTATTAGGGATGAAGGAATCAACCACCTCATCAAATTTATCAAAGAAAAGCCAAAGACCATGATGAAGAAGCAGCTCTGGAAGGTTGAAGATGATAATCGTAACACATGCTTTCCCAGCAGAACCTCGCACCTTCATATTCTTCTAACTTATCAATCGATGTTTAACCTATCAACTAATTGTTTTTTAATTTGGTCTTTTAGATATTACTCGAAATATTAGGCATTAATACATCTATTTGTATTTTTGTAGTGTTCAATCTTCAATTTAATATGTATACAATATTATTATGATTTTAACTCGGTTAATTTTATTGAATGAATTAAGAGAAAATATAATAAGATTATAATCTTAAAAAATAAATTTTTTATAAAAAATAAATTAATGTATACTGATCACATTGACTAATATAAAAGAATTTATAAATAATATTTTTCTGAAAATTTGATTGTTATGGTTTTTTATCATGTTTTTGAATAGATTAATTAATATAAAATAAAAAATATAATTTAACAGATTTGGGTTTGGATTTTTGGCCCATAACCCAACCAAAAAAAAAACTTAATCATCTATATATATATTTATATATTTTAATCTTGACACTATTTTTAAAATAATACAATTTTCGAAAATTTTCTATTTTTTCTCATATAAAATAGAGAAAAGAAAGAATGTTGGGTAAATTGCACGTCTAGTACCTAAACTATCAGTTTTGGTTCATTTTAGTACCTAAATTATTAGTTTTGGTTCATTTTAGTACATAAACTTTCAATATTTTTCAAAATCATATCTAAAGTTTAGTTTTATTTCATTTTAGCACCTCCGTTCAAAATTTAATGTTAACTTTTGAAAAAAATTGAAAGTTTAGGTACTAAAACAGACAAAAATTGATAGATTATGTACTAAATGTGTTAAGTTTTTAACGATGGGTACTAAAATGAAACAAAAACTAAACGTTAGGTATGATTTTGAAGAAAATTGAAAGTTCAGGTAATAAGACAAATCAAAACTAATAGTTTAGATACTAAATGTGTATTTTACCCAAATATTTTTGAGAATATCTTAAGAATGGCATATTAATATAAGGTTAAAGAATTATCGGGGATAAATGTAACTGAAAATGTTATATAAAATATAATATTTTGGATTGGACGTAATCTAAAATGTTAATTTAAAAAAATAATATTTTAAATTGCACTTAACTAAAAGTGTTATTTTTTAATAATAATTTTTAATTACATCTATTAAGTTATTGTCATGTAACAGATCTACCTGAATTTTAAATTAAATTTCACTTAACTAAAATATTATATTTTTTATAATATTTTCAATTACATATATTACGTATGAAAATGTTATATGAAATATAGTATTTTTATTGGACATAATCTATTCTTTATCATTTTTAACTTTAAATTAAGTTGTCGTGACAAAACTATTTGATTTTTTTTGGTAAACTATAACCCATTTTTATTTCGACTATCATTTTTGAATTCTTGTCAATGAGACCACTTAATTATTTAAATAAATTTAATCAGATCACTCCGTTCACATTTAAAGGAAGTGATGATGTGACAATTAATAAAACTGGTACAATTACACATTTCATCATTGATATTTATATATTCTTTCAAATTGATCATCATTTTAAATTAATTTAACCTAATTAAAGGGAAAATGAAACAAAGAAAATCTGGGCACCAGGGAGTCTCGAACCGGACCAAGTTGGTTCTAAACAACGCCCCAACGACTAGAGAAAACCCCGTGTTTGTTAATTGTATTCAAAATGTTTTGTTTATTATGCTTAAGATTATGGTAGTAAAAATGAGAATAAAAAGATATTGGTTGTATTCAACCTACCCGATTTGATTCGAATAAATTAATATTTTAAAATAGTTAAAATAATATACTTATTACTCCAAAACATAAAACCCAGGAGCCGATTACTCCCACCAGCTTCCTCCTCGTATTCTTTCTTCATCGTCATCTTCATCTTCCGTTAAATTTTTATAAATTTATCCCTAACGTAAAGTATTGCATCGATGATGCGTTATAGGGGTGATTTTAGGCTTGCAATAAAAGAGATCGAAGATTGACTTCTGGACTCTCTATAATGTCTAAGTCACTCCTTCGTGACATCACTATATGTTACGAAGACTTTGATTCGATTTAGTGAAAGTTATCATACATGTATCACTGTATCTATATCCGATACTAATCTGTAACTTCTAATTCTTTTCTATTTGTATATATTTCTATTTTTGCAGACTTCTGTTCAGAGTTTCCATGTGCTCCAGGGAAGTCCTACTATGGACGAGGACCGATTCAGCTTACAGGGAACATTAACTACGGGAAAGCAGGGAATGCTCTCAAGCTGGACTTATTGAAAAACCCTGAAATAGTGGCCACAGACACTGTTGTCTCGTTTAAGGCTTCGTTATGGTACTGGATGAACGCGTTTCGTCCCATCATCGGCCAAGGGTTCGGAGCGACGACCAAAGCCATCAATGGCCAACTTGAATGTGGGGTTGGTGGAGAAGCACAACAGAGGGTTAAACGTCGAATTCAGTTTTACACCAATTATTTTAAAAGATTCGGTGTCGATCCTGGACCCAACCTGTCTTGTAAGAGTTTTTGAGTTACTTTCAGCTCTATGTAGGAGATATAGAAGGCTACAGATCCTGTTGTTGTAGCTTTTGAATAAATTTGCTACTACAAGGTTTCTTTTAAGAGACCTGCTAAAGAATAAAGGGAAACTTATGTACTTTTTAACATTTGCCATGCTATGTTTTAAGTTAATAATTGATTGGTGTTTATATGCCATTCTACTGCTCTACACCTCTCTTTTTCAACCTTTCATTACAAAAAGAGGGGGAAAACACATAAAGTTTCGTTCTTTCTTTTGTTTTCCCCTTTCCCCTTTGTCCCCATCTCTGCAATTTGCGTTTCAAGTATTGTGAAATCAATTTAATTTGATTTTCATGGAAATACGGACAGCTGGGAAGTTGCTTAAGGATCTCTTGCGCCAAAGGGTTGTTTCAACTTCCATTGGACCCTCTCGACATTGCTCTTCTGCTGCTACTTCTGCTCCTAAAATCCTCCATTCTTCAAAGAAAGTAAGTTCCTTTCATGAGATATGTTTAAAGGCTTTATAGGATTTTGTTCATCCTTTTCAATATTTTAAGCACTGTTGATTATGGCAGGAGGAGCTTATGTTAGTACTGTTGATGAAGCAACTTTCTGGTACTTATTTTGTACATCCCAATGAAAAATCTCTTCTTTGTTTCATTCTGTGAATGAGGAGGGTTTCCCCTTTTTGGATTAAGTGGCCTATCTAGAATTTCCTCTTGGTCTTCCTTTTGTTGGATTTTGAAAATTGTTCGAACTCTGATCTGAAAAATAAATTGGAAGATGAACGAGTCACTTCAATGGGCACCCCTTTGCGAGTTATATGACGAAATTGACTGTAAGGAGTAGCAGAGCTTTTTGTCTTTTCAATAACAGTAACATGGTCGATGGAGAATTTGCTCGTTTTCTTTATTTTCATCTCTGTCGTTTTTTAGTCTTAAGTTATTGCTATCATTGAAGGACACAAAATCTTAACTGTCATATGTCTTTTATATGTTTTGGTTTAAAATTTAATGGATGTGCTGATAGAAATGCCTTATTCTTGAATGAATCCTCATCTTATATCCATTTGGGACAAACTTATATGACGTTGGAATTTGGCAGTGGTTGGCTCTTCTCGGCGACTAAACTTGTAAACCCCTTCTTTGCACTTTTGGATGCTGAGAAAGCTCATGCGCTAGCTGTTGCTGCTGCTGCTCGCGGTTGGGTTCCTAGGGAGAAGAGACCTGATCCACCGATTCTGGGATTAGATGTTTAGGGAAGCAAGTTTTCGAACCCCGTAGGTCTTTCTGCTGGCTTTGATAAAAATCCCGAAACTGTTGAAGGTTTACTGTGGAAGTCGGATCAGCAAGGCAGTTCTTTAGACTGCGACAAGAAGGGTGACATCTGATTCTCCTTTTCCACTGTTTCTTTGAAATATCAACTTACCAGTTTTATGGAATAGGCATGAGTAAGGCAATTCTTTCTTGTGGTCTTGACTAGAGATTTGATTGCTTGGACTCGTGTCGATTGGTGTTCAAGTTTTTCTATTCTAACTCGATTTGTTGGGCAGTGCTATCATCAACCTCTGTGGGTTCAATAGTGAAGGAATCGTTGTTGTTGCAAAGAGATTAGGTGCACAACATTGTAAGAGGAAGTTAGAGACTTGGAGTACTTCATCACCCTCGAATGAAGAAGCTAAACATGGGGGCAAAGCTGGCCCTGGAATTCTAGGAGTCAATCTTGGGAAGAGTAAGTCAAGTGAAGATGCTGCTGCTGACTATGTACAAGTTCGATGTACATGCTAACAAGGGCATGTTATCTATTCGTATAAAAAGTTCTGATACATTGGATCTGTTGGCCTTTTATTCTCCGTCTCTTCTATTTCTAAACATGATTATAGTGATTCGATATGATCATATCTTCCGCCTTTCCAAAAGCCACACACTCGAAATTACAGAAGTGGAAGTTTACTATACAAAACATCGGGGGTGATGTTTTATAATTTGGTCGATGTTCCTACGAACCGTATATGTTTTCCATATTTCATTACCTCATTGAACATCCCAATATGCTCCGAGGTCGTACTCTTGAGGGCATTATAATTTGGTTATTACGTTGTTTGTCTCGGGTTATACTCTGAATTTGGATGTGGGGATCGAAAGCTTCATAGTTCGACGAGCTGCCCGTATTATTAGAGTTTTGACGGTTTCTTGCTGTTTCTTAATATCTTCTCTATGCAACTCCATTTTCAAATCGAATTTGTAACGCATTCAGATACCTCGACTCGTCCGAGTTTCTGTTTGATTTCTATAGTATATCGTACTTATAAAGCTGACATGCATACTTCTTTGCAGGGAAATATCCCTTTAATAGATCGTGGTGGTATTAGCAGGTGAAGTCCGTATACCTATTAATCGTTGCCAATTCTTCTCGTCATCTCAACGACGTTACTATCACAGTCATCACCATCGTCACCTCCATTGTTAACTTGAATTATGCATTCAATGTAGTGGTGAGGATGCATTCAAAAAAATAAGATCCGAAGCAACGCTAGTTCAGCTGTATACAGCATTTGCATATGAATGCCCTGCCTTAATTCCCCGAATAAAGGTATTATCCGTTTAAATTTTCGAGTTTCTATATTAATTTATTTATTTTCTTTCTGCTTAACACATCCTAAAGGATGTTAAAGATTGCAAATTGCGACAGAAAATACGCGTCTCCTACGAAGACAACATACTTATCGAGTCTTCGATTTCACATTCAACTGTTGTTCTTTGAAGTACCTGTATCTGACATTTTCGGATAGAACATGAGAAATGACATTCTAAATGCATGACAGAACTTATGGAAGACTAAACCGTATCGATAGAGACTCGTGCCAGAGTCCGAGTAACATATTTTTCCGTAAAATGTTTGGTACCGTGATCGTGCCGGTGTGTTCTTGGCAGGCTGAACTTGCTGAATGCTTGGAAAGGGATGGTTTCAAATCTATCCATGAAGCTGTTGGTGCTGATTGCAGACGGTAATAATCAATACCCGCCTTAAACCAGAAACTTTCATCATTTATAAATTAATCCCCGTGTCCCGGATTAGTATTTCATCCGATTTGATCACTTTTGTTTCGTTTCCATAAAATCTATCCTTCCAACCTTCACGAGTATGAGAGGGATTTACAATGTACACTATGAGAAAACAATTGTGATACGGGGTATCATGCAGAATTGATTTAGCTTTTTTTCCCTCGAAAATGACGATCAAGTTCGTTAACTACTCGAGTCGAACATTGAGATATGGGATTTTTCTATTAAATCTGTTTTAGAACTCTGTTCTCTGGACCCTAGACAACCACTTCCAACTAATTATATTAAATATGGGACATGTACCCTTAAATGGAACACAAATAGATATGATATAACCACCCAAATTGGCTGAGTAGGATATCACCAAAATTATTTTAGAATTTACTATATTTGCTACAGAGTGATTTGAAACAAGTTACGACCACACGATGAGTTAATAAAATATTTTTTTATTAAAATTTGTCAACTTACATAATAAATTTTAATAAAAGAATTATATTTTATTAAAACTCACCACGTTGACGTAACGAGTTTGAATAAAAAAAATTATTTGAGCAAATTAGTCAGGTTAAAGTCACAAGTTTGTTGTACTACGACCTGTCGTAGATCCCAAAATAAAATTCGGATTGATTGGCTTATTGGGTCAATTTTGCACCATTTTTCCTCTTGCTTTTTTTTCTTTCCCTGGAAACTGCAATATCTTCCAACATTTTGATCCGTTCGAGAAGAAAAAAATACAAAAACAGTCACCACCTCGCCTGCTTCATAAGCCATTGCATTGCGTGGATTTCACCACACATTTACTCTTTAGGAAATTTTATTTCTCACCTTTGAATTAACTGCAGTCATTTTCGGATCCTCGAGTTGTATTTGAAAACCAGTGCAGTTAAATCCACTGCAGTGGTTAATGCTGACTAATTTTGAAGGACGGAGTCCGAAACAACTGCAATCCAAGGTTCAAATCCAATCCGGCTTACCGAATGCCATTGAATACGATACTCGTCGGTGATCGAACTAGACCGAGCAAGCCAGTTATGAAAGAACAGATAAACCGAACACGGACCGAGCATCGCATAGCTGAAAGATAATTTAGCAGCGGAAGCAGACTAAAAGTGCAGATGAAACCCGGAACAACAGATGGGTCTTTTTTATTAACACAACAGGCACCCAAAACAATCCACAACTTACATAGTTAACACATTATTTGCAAGCTGGGAAAAAAATCTAAGAAATGGCTACAAATTTTCCGAAACAGGGGTCTTACAGAGAGGAGCCGGAGCCGGTTATCTCTCACGCAGCAGTGCCGTTCGTGTAGACAAAGTCGACGACGATGGAAGTTGGAAATAGGGCACATCATGAGCCATAGCAGCAAAGAAACTAGTAATTGTCAAACACCATTAGCATCCCTGTCATAGAGCAAATCTCGGGTTGTCGGCATCAGCCACCCGGTATCGGTTAAACCGATTCGAATTCCGACAATGCAGTTTCGACATGGGAAATAGACCTACATGGTTTCTTCTTCAAAGCAGAAAAGAATGAGCAACTCGTTGCACAAAATCATTCTCATGAATTTTTTATTAGCAAACTTGACTAACCGCAAAACAAATCCCCAAATTCAGCAGGCAGCCGGTGGCGAAATTACAAACACCGAAACCCTAATTCTTGACTCTCCCTCTCCTTCAACATAATCCCTCGAAACCCTACAACAATCGAGAATGCTCTAAAACCCTAACTTGAATCACATTCATCATTCCAGAAATCATCTTCAACATTCACACACAACAAAAGCGACAACCATACACAAATATTTATAACATATATATACTCCCAACACGAATACGGGTAAAACGAACCACCGGAATTCAACGCGGATCCTCCTCTCTCCGACTCGATCCTCCCGGAGCTCCGGAAAGTGAGGCTAGTAAATTTAGATGACCGGGAAGATAATTGCCGACCCTCGCTGCCGACGCTTCTCCCATAGCTTGCTGTTGCTGAACGAACAACGCAGCGGCAGCGGCAGCAGGTTGCTGAGCAGCCGTCTGCACCATCATTTCCGGCGGTGGCGGCGCGAAGCTCCACATTTGACCAAAGTCGTGCCTCGTCGGAAGAGCCCAGAACCCACCCGTATGCGAACCCGTGGGCCCCACGATGGACCCCACGCCGCCTGGTCCAACGGTGAGCTCACTAGAATCGTCCTTCCCGGCGTTATCGTCGTCGGGCCTGAGCGCTTCCCGAGTATAAAAGGAGTGGGACCCAGCAGAGGCTTAGAAGTTGTCGACGACAAGGAAGCGGAATTAGCCCCGCCGCGAATGGAAACCGAGACGGAGGAGTAGCTGGCGGGGGTGGTCCCGGTGCCGGTGGCGGCTATGATAGAAGGTTCGGCCTGACGCAAGAGCCACTCGATGGTTTGACCGTCGGATTTATGACCCAACTCGCGAGTCAACTGGAAGACACGAGCGGCACAAATGATGGGCATCCTGATCCTCCTCCCACGGCCATCGACTTTGCTGTGACGGTCCTTGGTGGGCGGCTTCTTAACTGGGACCGAACCATTGGTGGACGGCGCCGTTTGCTGTCTCTGAGAGTCCATTAAGGCTCCGTTCGTAGCGCCTCCGGTACCATCTGAATTCGACATGGCAGGAGAAGTATGACTACTACTACTACTACCACCACCTACACTCTTTTCTTCACTTACCCTTCACTTCCTTTTACACTGAAATAAAAATATATATGTCTTTGTCGTTTGGGGTTATTGCTGGTGAAGAGATTAATGGAGAGAAACCCAAAAAAATGATTTTGGAATCGGAATTTTTCACAGAGAAGAAGGTGTTTTGAGAGAGATAGAGAGAGGATGGTGATGATTGAGAGGCAGTGGCTGGTGGAAACATGAGGAAGGGCACATGGGTGGTGGGTCCCTCCCCCAACAGAGCCACAGCTCATACCTCTCCCGCCCCCCCCCTTTCCCCCAATTTCTCTGTTTTATTTCACGCGCCTCCACATCAGCCGGTAAGGTAATTATAATTAGAATCTAACATCTGACCATGTAAAATACAATGGAGATAATTTAATTATAAGTTAGTTATTTAAAAAAGAATTAATTTAATTATTTAATTAACTCTATTATTGCAATAATTCATTTAATTGTCAAACTAGAAAATTTTTATATGAACTGATATTATAATATTTTTAATTGTAAAATTTATGTATTTTATTAATTTAGATTTAATTTAAAATAATTTAATAAAAATAGTTCTTTATATTTAAAAATTATATCAATTTTAGTTCTTTGACGGTAATATTATATTTTTTTAATAGAAGTCATTAATTTTATTAAAAATAGAAAATATTCAAGTTACAAGGAAGGTTTACAACTTCAATAGTAAACTAAACACATGATAAATATATTTTTCTAAATACAAAAATATAAGTAAAATAATAAAAAGGATTAAATTTGTTGAATTATTTAAGATGAAAATTGATGATATATAGAAATTTTTTATAATTAAAATCATTGCTTTATTTCGTTTAATATTTAATAGTTGACAATATACTTGTAATAATATTTTATTTGGTTGACTGAATTATATTCTTTTAAAAAAAAACTTATTATTTATAATCAAATTAAAAATTGAATGACGATATACTTTATCCAAACGAATCATTAATGTGCCACGGCATATATTAGCTGCACACTTTTTTAATCTATGAATAGAAATTATGTGCATCTTATCACTTTTGTGACAAATAAAGCAATGCATTTATCAAATACTTTAGTTGTCATGATTGAGGATTTGAGCAGCTTTTGACCTATGCACAATTTCTTTTTACTTTTCCTTTTAGGGTAGGTCTGATTTAATATTTAAATTTTTAAAATTATATCTAATATTTAGTTTTGAAACTTATAAGATTATCGTGTTTAGTATTTAAACTATTAATTTTGATATATTTTAAAACTTAAATTTCATTTTTTTTCAAAACTTAATATTAAATTTGAACAATAAAACTAAGATGGAACAAAACTAAACTTTAGTATGATTTTAAAAAAATTAAAAGTTTTGGTACTAAAACGAATAGCTTAGATACTAAACGCGTAATCTACCATTTCTTTTATGAATATAGGTTTTTAAAACTTAAACTAATCAAATTTACCGTAGGGCATTACATTAAGAAGAAAATGTGATTGTTTGAATGCTTAATACAAAAATAAGTGTTCAAACTATACCTTAATTGCTCGAATAGGTGTCTAAACTATTTTTTAACTTATCTAGGTGTTTAACGCTATAAATATTATCATTTTAGATACCCAGACCGTTAATGACATTAATTTATCTGTTAAGTTGATTTTGAAATTTATTTTTTAAATATTATATTTATAAAAACTCTAATTTCTCTTAAATTGTAAAAAAATACAAAAATACCTAGAACCCCCCAAATCATATCCTTAACCCGCTGTCACCATCCATTCTGACAACGACTTGCACCATTGACGTAGTCCCTATCATCCTCTTAGTCATACGTCGTCGTTGTTATCGTCGATATCGTGATTTTCACATAAGGTTCGCATGTCATAACGGTTGATTCACCGTCGATCGATCTCGATTTCACAGGGGTTTTGGTCGTTGGGGAAGACGAAGTCGGGTGAAACTTCGTTAACGGCAAAAAGCGATGGCTGGTATGAGTTTAAGGGTTGAAATGAAAGTTTTTAGCGTTTTAGGTTATTTCAAAATGTTTATAGTTTTCTTTAAAATATATATATAATTTTAATTTTTTGAATATCTAAATTGCGACAAGTGTCATTTAACGAAAAAATTAATATCATTGACATTTCGAACATATAAATTGATAATATTTATAATATTAAACATCTCGATGGATAAAAATAATTTAAACACCTGTTCAAAGATTGAGATATAATTTGTTCACTTGTTTTTTTATCAAGCCTTGATTGAAACCGTTCAGTTTCTTTGTAGTAAGTGGATAGTTCGATCTAAGAGTATGAGGAACGAGCCCCGAGTTTGAATTGTAATTCTATTGGATCTTAATTTAATCAAAATAAATATTAATATAATAGTATAAAAAGGATATTCTACTACAATTTAATCAGAGAGAAAATAGATTGGAGGAAGAAACGTGAGTGAAGGCGCGTGAGAAGACAGATAGATCAGCTTTAATGTAGTGAGTCAGTGAGTTAAAATCAGTCGTTGCAAACTGGCATCAAGCCACTTGTTTATTTACGTAATTGCCAAATGAAATGAGGGATGAAGGCCCCTCCCCTGTCATTCGCGACAATGATTTCCGCGGAGCATGTCTTGCCGTTGACCGACACCACGTGATTCCACACTTCTACCTATCCGACGGTTGAAATTGCTTGTTGCATTTTTATTTATCCTAGGCGTGTTTCGGGTTATCACAATACACACTGAACCACCGCATCACTTGTCTATTAAGAACCATACGATAGTCTTTTCGCTTAATGCTCCCTTGTAGTATTTGTCTTTCTAGTTTTGTATTTTTTAATAATTAAATTTTTAATTCTTTTAAAAGCATACCTAACATCTAATTTTTATTTCATTTAATACTATCAGTACATAAACTATCAATTTTGATAAAACTTATTACATTTAGTATATAAACTATCAGTTTTGATCTATTTTAATATCTAATTTTTTTAAAAAAAAAAACCTCAACGTTGAATTTTGAACATTTACTAAAATGAAACAAAACCTAAACTTTAAATATGATATTGAAAAAACAAAAGTTTACCATTAAAGTAAATCAAAACTGATAATTTTAATATTAAATGTGTAAATTACCCCTTTTTCTGTTTGATCTTATTAGTGCAATTCTTGTAACAATCCATTATTCAGAATGACCTATGTCATGTTTTTAAATATTAATCTTATAATGTTCGAATAGGTTAAAAAAATAAGCTTTTATCTAAATATTTAACCTTCCCCCCCCCCCTCTCTCTCTCTATATATATATATTCCACGTATAGAAAAACTCCTTAATTTTATATGAAAATATACTAATTGAATGAATCCAATTGAATGGTTAATTTTTTTTTTGAAAAATAGGAAAAAGAAATAATATTAACACATAAAGTTTTAATCTTTGTTATCCACTTAAATTTATTGATGACTATATTTTTATATAAAATTAATAAATTTTATACCATTAAAGTGGATAATACCTTGTAAATAATAGTAATAATAATTTTTGGTTATTGAAATAGGGAACATACTTTAAGCCACAAAAAATGATGAACATGTCAGTAAAGCTGGAGTCCATATCCCACCTGTTTTTGGAGCCATTGATGAAAAGGACTAATTCCATTTGGCAGCATCTAAGTGTTATATCAACATCAAAAATCATCTCTTTTTCTTCCTCTCCAAGAAAATCAGATGCATGTAGATGATTAGATATTATGCTTATGTAAACACCAATTGCATGTTGACACGTCACTTTGCATTTTCATTCTACAGTGGCCTCAATCATTTGGCCGCACTGTTTTGGGTGTGGGGATAATACTCCGAAACAATAACCCATTACCCATCCCTTTTTTCCATTTTTAGGTTTACCCCTCCTGTTGTGAACCACTTAGTCAAAGAAAACTTTTTGATGGGCCCTTTTTTTTGGGTATTTATATTTGGTAGAACCCTAGGATCGTGGAAATCATATCCCACAATCTTGGACCTAATAGGATGAAATTTAATCCAACATGACATAAATATAACTAAGATCATACATGAGAAAGTAATATGTGCAAGCCATGAATACACAAATTTGCAGATCTAATAAAGGTTACCTGATGGGTGGCCTAATATATCATGCGATGTGATCTTTCCCCCTTTGCAACTTGCAAGGCTCTGCCAGGCAGTGGGGAAACTGCTCCAAATCTCCATCAAAACAGGAAAATCTTGATTTGGTTCCAGGCACAGATTCATTACTGAAAAAATCACTTGGGATTCAATTGATAAGAAGCAGAACCCTTGTAAAATGTAGATAGATCCACTCCAGCCATATTTTGAATGGAAGGAAACAAATGCAGCAGGCAACGATAAGGTAAATGAGTTCCGACTTTGTATTGCTGTGTATTCAGATGCAAGTATGAAGAGATGGCATCTATGGCAGAATTTAAAGAAAACTAAATATGCCCAGGTATATATTGGATATGAATATTTCAAGGAAAATGGAAAAGTAAGAACAGCATAGAAACAGCACAGCTAGCAAATTGAACTATGACTTTTCTTCATTGATTCTACTTACAGACCTTTTACTAGAACCACATAAAGTAATGATTAAGAGGGGAGGATGTCGAGGAAGGGCCAAAGAATGTATGATAGAGTAAAGGGCTGTCATTGACAAACAAAGCCGTGAAAATTTCAGATAGATGTATTAGTTGCTTGAAACATAAACCATGTTAGTTCTCCATGTTTACACAATTCTGCTTCCCAACTCCAAAAGAGGCTGATTGATCACCATGTGCCCATGAAAGAAATAGATGATGGCTTATGTTTTGCTGTTGCTGCATTTCCAAAAAATTAAATTCAAGTTAGGGTACTATTGTGCAAATATGGCTCAAGAGAAGTATGTTTAAATTGTCCATGGAAATGCAGGCGGCTAATATACATATGTAACACATATATTGAATGAAAATACTACTGCACCATGCAAATTTAAGTTCCATCATAGATTCATAAGAAGGTAGTTCTGATAATATGCTTAATGAGTCGACAAGCCATAAGCCCCGACTAAAATTTCAAACACTAACGGGAAATCATTAGAATCAACCTTCTTTCTTTTGACCTTCTTATAAGGTTGCAACTTGGGGGATGAAGGGTGCATCTCT